AAATGCTTGTAACAATGTTTTTAAAACCATTTGAATTGATGCTTTTAAGATTGGTATGTCACCAATTGCATTCTAAATTTCAGCATTTAATTTTACATTTAAATTTTAGCAATTTAAAATGTTCTTGAGTTCACTTTGTTTTAAGAATCAAATAATTTCTATTTTTTCACATATTTATTTGTGTTGGGAACAACTAAAATCTATTCTCTTTCAAGTATATATTACATTGTTATTAACTATAGTCACCATGTTGTACAGCAGATCTCTTGAATTTATTCCTCTTGTGTAACTGAAATTTTGTATCTTTGACCAACATCTCACCTTAATCCACCATCCTCTCCTCAGCTCCGCCCTAGCCCCTTAGTAACCACCGTTCTACCCTCTGCTTCTATGAGTTTTGATTTTTTTAGCTCCCACATATAAGTGAGATCATATGGCATTTGTCTTTCTGTGCCTGGCTTATTTCATGTAACATAATGTCATAGGATAATATTCTAGGATCTGAAAAACTATGTGACAATTTGTTTAAAGTTGAAATAAAGAAACGTACAGAGGTACTACTGTGACAAAAAGATATAAGTAGATCGCGGTTACAATTTGTTATTTGCCTAATAATCAATGGCAATAAATTTTTTTACATATGTGTACAAGTGTAAAAAGTGATTTAGAGAAAGTGATTTCTTTATAAATTTACCTTTTTAATTGTAGTCTTTGAAGCATTTTATTCAGATAAATTTAGACTGACATGAACATAATGCCTAAAATAATTATTAAATTACCTAACTTTACAAGGGTTAATCCATTTTAATAACTGGCTATTTTAATAACTTAATTGTTTATTAAACACTGATTCTACCAGTGAGAATTGCTGAATAAACAGATATACTCACAGTCTGTGTTTCATTTACATAAGAACTTGCATGCTTATAACGCTTATATCTGCAAGATGGTCAAAGAAATCGAAGCAGGGGTCATCTTGTTATTCCTCCTGCCCCTTGCCTTTCTGAAAATGACTTGGTAACCATGTGAGATCACAAATGCACATTCATAACCCCAACCCTGACCCACCTTCCCAGTTATACCAGTGCTAATCCAGAGCAGTGTCTGCTTTGGGGAGATATTAACAAAAAGACAGGGCACAGTTTTATCAACATACTCAAAACCTCTTTGCTGCTCCCAAATCTACCTTATTCCTCAAGATGGTATCCTTAGCTGTTCTTCCTCAGAAAAAGAGTATACACAGTGCAGTGAACATACTTTGGGGTTGTGTGCAAAATGGTGATGAATCTTACTTTAGTCCATCGTCTGTACAAAGGCTAAAGCAAAGCTACTCTTCATATGTGATGAATTCCAGAAACAACTACCTTATTAAAACTCGAAAAAGTAACTTCCCCTTTATTTATCTTTATA